CATTTATTTCTCTCCTGTACTTACTATTCTATTATATAATGCTGGATGCTAGTATGCTTGCTTCTGATTGGCAGATGAACCTTATAAGTTGTGCAATTCAAGTATAGATCCAGGCAAGTGTTGATGTAGTTCCAAATTCATTCATTCATTGATTTTCTTTTCAGCTTAGTCCCTTTAATAATCTGGGGTCGCTACAGCGGAATGAACCACCAACTTATACAGCATCTGTTTTTTTACGCAGCCGATGCCCTTCCAACTGCAACCCATCACTGGGAAACATCCATACACTCACATTCACACACATACACTACGGACAGTTTTAGCTTAACTAATTCACCTGTACCGCATGTCTGTGGATTTGTGGGGGAAACTGGAGCAACCCGAGGAAACCCACGCTAACACCGGGATAACATGCAAACTCCACACAGAAATGCTAACTGAGACAGCCGGGGCTCGAACCAACGACCTTCTTGCTGTGAGGCGACATCGCTACCCACTCCACCACCGCGTCGTTGTTTTGACAACATCTGATAGAAAAATTATAAAATAGCTTTAGGATTATTATTATAGGCTTCTTGCCATTGGCCGAGGCCCCCTATTTCCCTGGGGCCTAAAGACAGTGAATGCGTGCTTGCGGATGCGCAAAGAACTTTTGTTCTCGCAGAGAGGGAAACATTATCAACCGGCCGCAATTGCATTAAAGCGGAGCCTTGGGGAATGTCGCATTACGCAACGTACGTGCAGGTGAATTGAACATTAATACATAAATGGCCATATTTCCTCAGACGTGACGCTTCCAGCCAATCACGAGCGGAAGATGCTTCAGGATTCCCGCTGCTATCGAAATATTGGACAAATTTGGTGTATATGCTCCTGTCAGAAACGACAGAGAGAGTCTTTAAAGCCAGATTTCGTCCATATTGGAAAAATAGAAAGAGCTTGCGCAGGAAAACCTAGCCGAGTAATGACACCTCGAAATCTGTTAGTATCGACCAGCCGGACATTTCCAACGTGTCTGGAGAGATGAATGCGGTATCAGGTCGTGTTTGTAAGGAAAATGAGGGAACATTATGCTAGCGCTGTGTCGAGGACAATCTGGGTACATTGTGCTTCTGCGGTATAAAGCTCAGCAGGGGCTCTTAAGGAGTCGTGATCTTGTGCTTTTAATAATAACTTTTGGCTCCTGACCAGCAGATGCAAAACTGTGCCGCGTAATTTTCGCGCCCTTATTGTGTCGAGGTCTGCAATGTGTACGTAGCCTACTTATTACCGTCGCCTAAATGCTTTCTAAATTAGTTCCTGTCAAAATTAGAGCCCATCTGTCAAACATTCGAGTATCTGAGGGGGTGTCCAGTGAGGTAGTTGTGATTTTTAACAGATATCACAAAAGACTTTGGAGTGGCCTAGTCAAAGCCCTGATCTGAATCCAATTGAGATACATTACCTTTAAAAGGCAGTTCATGCTCGAAAACAGTCCAATGTGGCTGAATTACAACAATTCTGCAAAGATGAGTGGGCCAAAATCCCTCCACAACGCTGTAACAGACTCATTGCAATTATTGAAAACATTTGATTGCAGTTGCAAACCAGTAGTTATGTTTAGGGGCAAATAATTTTTCACACAGGGCTATGTAGTTCTGCATTTTGTTTTCCCTTAATATTAAAAGCCTTCACTTTAAAACAGCATTATGTGTCTACTAGTGTTATCTTTCACTAATATTTAAATTAGCTTGATGACATTAAACTGTGACAAACAAGCAAAAAAACTTTGGAGTGGCCTAGTCAAAGCCCTGACCTGAATCCAATTGAGATGCTTTACCTTAAAAAGGCTGTTCATACTTAAAAACCCTCCAATATGGTTGAAGTACAACAATTCTGCAAAGAAGAGTCGGCCAAAACTCCTCCACAGAAATGTAACAGACTCGTTGCAGTTATCGAAAACACTTGATTGCAGTTGCTAAACAGTTGTTAGCTTTAGGGGCAAATAATTTCACACAGGGCTATGTAGTTCTGCATTTTGTTTTCCCTTAATAATAAAAACCTTCATTTTAAAACAGCATGATGTGTTTACTTGTGTTATCTTTGACTAATATTTATATTAGTTTGATGAAATTAAACTCTGACAAACATGCAAAAAGACTATGGAGTGGCCTAGTCAAAGTCCTAACCTGAATCCAATTGAGATACATTACCTTAAAAAGGCAGTTAATGCTCGAAAACCCTACAATATGGCTGAAGTACAACAATTCTGCAAGGATAAGTCGGCCAAAATTCCTCCAAAAAGCTGTAACAGACTCATTGCAGTTATTAAAAACACTTGATTGCAGTTGCTAAACAGTTATTAGCTTTAGGGGCAAATAATTTCACACAGGGCTATGTAGTTCTGCATTTTGTTTTCCCTTAATAATAAAAACCTTCATTTTAAAACGGCATGATGTGTTTACTAGTGTTATCTTTGACTAATATTTATATTAGCCTGATGACATTAAAATGTGACAAACAAGCAAAAATACTTTGGAGTGGCCTAGTCCAAGCCCTGACCTGAATCCAATTGAGATGCATTACCTTAAAAAGGCAGTTAATGCTCGAAAACCCTTTAATGTGGCTGAATTACAACAATTCTGCAAGGATGAGTCGGCCAAAATTCCTCCACAGCACTGTAACAGACTCATTGCAGTTATCGAAAACACTTAATCTACTAATATTTAAATAATTTTGATGGCATTAAACTGTGACAAACATGCAAAAAAAAAAAACTTTGGACTGGCCTAGTCAAAGCCCTGATCTGAATCCAATTGAGATACATTACCTTAAAAAGAAAGTTCATGCTTGAAAACCCTTTATTGTGGTTGAATTACAACAATTCTGCAAGGATGAGTCGGCCAAAATTCCTCCACAGCACTGTAATAGACTCTTTGCAGTTATCGAAAACACTTAATCGACTAATATTTAAATTATTTTCATGGCATTAAACTGTGACAAACATGCAAAAAAATAAAAAATAAATCTGTAAGGGGGCAAACACTTATTCACACCACTGTATTTATGCACACAAGTAAAATGCTAACATAGAATAAAACGCTCAATACTGTATACAGACCAAATTTATTGAAATAATGTAATACTTTTACAAAATGTCACTCACAAATATCCGTTTGTAGGTGTAACACTATGGACTGCCGTCGATAATTACAACCTATTTGTTTTTAAAAACACACACCACCCACCCACATTAGATACAATGACATCGAAACGAGCCATTAGTATGTGCTTCACTTTCAAATGTTCGAAAACAGGAACACACGCCACAGTAGACATCAACTCCGCATGCCAGCGTTCATCAGAAACCGGATCCATGGTCATTTAAAAGGACAGATTCACACGTGTCGCACAGTTTGGCAGTGTCACCTGACAGCAGCAGAGGAATAAAGCTTGTGCATACTGTTGGAAAATCCTCCCCGAAACCATCGCAGATGACACTGGATCATGTTGACATGGTATTCCCGAAATAAAAACGCACTATAAAAGAAACCAAATAAAAAGCAGCTCCCTTTTGAGTTGAACGTTAAAAGGGAATATTTCTGTAAAGTTTTCTCATCATTTACTCCGTCTAATCTGATTTCTCCTGAGAAACACAAATGGAGAGATTTAAAAGAATGTTCACGCTGCTCTTTTTTTTAATACAACAAAAGTATACAGTGATTTGAGTGACGTGAACGTTCTTTGTAGTCTCTCTTTTTGAGTTCGATTAAATAAATTATTAATTTGGAGGTTAGCTCTTGGCTTAACTGTTCTTCGAGGATCATGTCTAGTCCACAAAGTAATACGCAGATCACTCGGTAACACTTTACAATACGGGACACCTAGTTAATGTATTTAATAACATAAACAAACTGTGACCAATACATTTATTATAGTATTTATTCACTGTTGTTAACAAACATTTGTTTATTTTAGCTCAAGTTAAAGAGATATCATCAGTCATCATGTGCTTTGATGATTTTCTTTCTTCTGTTGAACACAAAACGAATATATTTTGAAAAGAGTTGGAAACCTGTAGGCAACCGACTTCCATAGCATTTTTTCCTATGGAAGTCAATGGTTTAAGGTTTCTAACATCCTTCAAAAATATCTTATTTTGTGTTCAACAGAAAAAAGAAACACACAAAGGTTTAAAATCACTTAAGGATGACAGAATATTTTGTAAATTAATTTTTAAAAAATGATTTATCAATGGTTACAGGTTTCCAACATTCTTCTGAATATGTTATTTAGTGTTAAGCGGAAGAAAGAACCTTATAAAGATTTAAAACCACTTGAGGAAGAGTAAATTTACATTTTTAAGTTAACTATCAATGGATACAGGTTTCTAACATTCTTCTAAATATCTTATTTTGTGTTCAATGAAGTATAGAACACCATAAAGGTTTGAAACCACTTGAGGGTGACTAAACATTTTGTAAATGTTCTCTTTGTTTAATGAATTATCAGTGCTTACAGGTTTCAAACATTCTACTAAATATCTTATTTTGTGTTCAACAGAAAAAAATAAAAATAAAATAAAGGTTTCAAACCACTTGAGGAAGAGTAAATATTTTGTAAATGTTCATATTTTAAATGAATTATCAATGGTTACAGGTTTCTAACATGCTTAAAAATCTTATTTTGTGTTCAACAGAAGAAAGAACCTTATAAAGATTTGAAACCACTTGAGGATGAGTAAATTTACATTTTTTGAGTGCACTGTCAATGGTTACAGGTTTCTATCATTCTTTAAAGTGTCTTATTTCGTGTTCAACAGAAAAAAATCTACCTAATGAGGGTTTTTAAACCACTTGAGGATGAGTAAATATTAAGTAAGTTTTTATTTTTTGAGTGAGTTATCAATGGTTACAGGTTTCTAACATTCTTCTAAATATCTTATTTTGTGTTCAATGGAAGAAAGAACCTCATAAAAGTTTTTAAACCACTTGAAGATGAGTAAATCATGAGTAAATAAATTTTTTAAGTGAACTATCCCTTTTACTAACTAATCCCATTAGTAAACCATGAACTATAACTAATAAATGCTGTACAAACTTTATTCATGTATGTTAGAACATACATTAACCAAGTGTCCCCATATTGTAAAGTGTTACCGATAACTCATAACTTTCATATCAAGAAACATCTACTGCTCAAAGAGGGCTTTAAAATTGATCCTTTTGACTCTAGATCAGTTGTCAGTGCAGGAAAGTAAACCATCAGGAACTTTTTTCTTCATAGAGTTTAGTGTTCATTGATAAATACACTCTCTCGCGTGTCTGAGCCTCAAAAAAGTACATAAAATTAAAAAGAAGGCCATAAACAGATAAAAAGAGTCGACTAATGTAGACTACAGGGCCTAAAAAGAGGACGGTGGGCCAATTCACAGAAAATGTGCACGCTGAGGTCTTTGTGCCGTCTCTACAAATCACCCAAATGGCACGTAATGGGTACAAAATCAGTCCGAGAAAAAAAAAAAATTTAAAATCACACCGAGAATCATGACCTTGATTCACATTACCAACTCGTCCAGAAGAGCACAGACTCACGCTTTCAAATGCAGAGAGTGCGTAATGGATCGTTTTCCCGCCTTTCAGAGCGAGAGGTGAATCCTGAAGAGGTCACTGAGGGGGTAAAGGTCGCTGGCGGGTCGGGGACACGTGAGGAGACGGCAGCTTCTCTGTGGACGCGGAGGTGCTGAGGGAGCTCTGCAGATTCACCGTCTTGTGGAACAGTTTGTTACTGATGAGGACGACCAGGGAAAAGAGCCGGAGCTGGAAGTGGCTGCAAACACAATGATGTGGAGGATTGGGATCAATGATTTTTCTGAAAACTAATTCTGTAAAAGTACAATCAAAAAGCACATCACTTACTAGAGCTTGACTGGGGTCTTTGCTTCATTAGCGCTGATGATGAAGAGCGGGAAGAGAATGGAGAACAAACAACCGCTGAAGGAAAGAGCAAGATTTAGAGATGAAAAAAAGTTATGGCTTTTATATATATATATATATATATATATATATATATATATATATATATATATATATATATATATATATATATATATATAAACATATGTTTTATGTTAATAATAAAACAAATTGAATGAACTGAAAAAGCCTCCCTTTTAAATCTTCATGTAGGCTAGAAATTAATATGTTTTGTAATATTTTAATCATTTATATTTATATCCTGTATATATCCTTATTATATATATATTATCTTTAATATATAATATATTTTTCATATGTAAAGATATTTGCGTATTGCTCTACATTTTGTGTGTAGTGTGTAAGCCAGGCACACTTTGCGCCAGACAATAGACCGACTTTGTTCTGGTCTAAAGAACAGGCTATTTACAGTTTCTCAAAATAGCAAAGCGCCAAAACACGCCTGCTTTTTTAGACCAGAACGCCTATGGGCGCACATTTGAGCGCTAATGCATTTGCTATTCAAACAGTGTGGCGCAACACCTCAAAATGACCCTTGCACAGAGCTAAAAGTAGCAAAAGAGTATTGCGCTGCGCCTTGCGGCACATTGCGCCGGGTGTATGATAGGGCCCATTATGGTATTTGTATGCTTTAAGGCTAAAGCGGGTGTCACAAGCTTTAAGTTGTGCAGCGCCATCTAACGTCAAGGAGCGATTTTGCACACTCTTCTGCTCGACGGCAGTGAAAATTGCTTTGGTTTAAATACGGAAAAACGTCTTGAAAAAACACTGAAGATAAACGCAAATGAAAAGCGTCCTGTTCATCTTTGTAGGCTAGATTAAAGTGAAAGTGTGAATGTTTGAAAATAAATCACAGATGATTCAGTCAAGCATCTGTGATGAACAACTGCTGAAATACAATCATTATAATCTCAAAAAGCACTCCAAAAATCGTAATAATAAACAATTCATCAAGTGCCGATGATATAAACATTGTTCATGTTCATTATGACAACATATCGAGTTACTAAATATCGACATGTGTCTGATCAGAGCATAACTTGATCAGAAGAGTCTGAAATTGTACCTTATGATGTATGAAGAGGGCAGAGCGGTCAGTAGAGCCATGGGCAAACCGAAGCCAAAATAATACGGCCAGTTCCTCTCGATGTTTGACAGCCTTTGGTGCATTTCAATTCCTTCAGTCAAGAGATCAAATGTTAGCTTTAAACAATCTTATTTTATGCCTCCCTGACTGACCACACACTTACCGTGATTAAACCAGCGATATTCGAAGCAGTAAAGCGAGTAGAGCAGAGACATGTGCAGGAGACTGACCAGCTGACCAATAGCATCGATGGGAAAGAGACTCACAATCCATCCCTAAAAAAATGGCTTGCATTAATAGCATGTTTAAAAAAAAGGAGATACACGATAGAGATGTAAAGATTTGCACCTGAATCAGGAAGAGAGCCTGGAGCAGAAGATTGAAGAGCATGTCTGCGATGATCTTACTGACGCTGGGAAAAGGTTGAGCTTTACGTCCAGACACTTCAAACGCCAGATCAGCAATGTCCTGCACAACAAAACAGCACCAAACCAACATTTACATATCATTTTATATCAGGAGGCCTTAACTGATCTGTACTTATAATAATGAAATGAATCATTTGTTACAACTGCTGAAAAATCGTAATTTCCATACATTTCATAGTGTGTGTATTTGTATGCAGGGGTCACCAAACTTGTTCCTGGAGGGCCGGTGTCCTGCAGATTTTAGCTCCAACCCTAATCAAAAACACCTGAACAGGCTAATCAAGGTCTTACAAGGTATACTTGAAACATCCAGGCAGGTGTGTTGAGGCAAGATGGAGCTAAACCCTGTAGGGACACCGGCCCTCCAGGACCAGGATTGGTGACCCCTGGTATAGAGACAGTCGTCCATGCATTTGTCTCTTCACACATTGACTACTGTAATGCTCTTTTCATTGGTCTGCCTGGCAGCCTCATCTCCAGACTACAATATATTCAAAACTCTGCAGCTAGAATACTCATATCAAACGTTCTGCTCATATAACCTCAATCCTATACGAGCTTCATTGGCTTCCAGTTGCATACTGCATTAAATTCAAAATTCTCCTCCTTGCATTTAGATCCTTCAATGGCCTAGCTCCCTCTTATCTTTTCAACACTTGTCCCCTATACCCGCTCATTACGTTCCTCTGATTCTGGCCTTCTTCGGTACCGCCTCTCTTCAATGGGGGGCAGATCATTTAGGCCAGTGGTCACCAAACTTGTTCCTGGAGGGCCAGTGTCCTGCAGATTTTAGCTCCAACCCTAATCAAACACACCTGAACAAGCTAATCAAGGCCTTATATATTGAAACATCCAGGCAGGTGTGTTGAAGCAAGTTGGAGCTAAACCCTGCAGGGACACCGGCCCTCCAGGACTGAGATTGGTGACCCCTGATTTAGGCGGTACTCACACTAGGTACAGTTGCCTCGAACCGGGCCAAAGCACGTTTGCCCCCCTCCCGTCTCCCCCGACGGCCCGCACTTACACCACAATCGGGCCTCGGCACGCTTACGTAATCGATGCTGCGCTGTTCAGTGAGAAGCGCTCTCTCACTCAGTCGCACAAAGAAGATTTCTCTAGTTATATCGTTTCAGTCGTTTGATATATACCGTCAAATATTTCGCCAAACAGTCCTTAGGGATGCGGTGACATGCAGTCAGATATTTCGCCGAACAGATCCGCCACTTTTGGCGCTCATAATCATAATGCTCTCGTGCTGCAGGAATGAGGAGGTCTGCTGAAGGCGCGCAGCTGTCGTGCAGTGAGAGGTTTGCGTCTTTAATTAACTACGGCAGTTTGAGTTCACTGAACAGTAAGAATGATTAATAAATCCATATGAAACAATCCCTTAAAAGTCACATCTGACTTTCAGTTTCGGGCTTTGACGCGTTTTGCACTCACACTACAAGTGTACACGGTAAATATTTGACTGCATGTCAATGCATAACAAACGACTGAAAGGATATAACTAGAGAAATCTCCACTGTGCTACTGGGTGAGAGCGTATGGCAAGCCGTTTTAGCATTTAAACCTTGTTCTGACTATCCATAAATATATTTAGAGATATCTGTAATTATATTTTGACTAGTCATAATTATAATTCGACTACTCAAAATGACAATTAGAGATATCTGCAATTACAATTGTACTAGTACGAAATCAGATTGGAGATATCTGCAAATATATTATGACTAGTCATATTCCTCCATTGAAAAATATTTGCAGATATCTCTAAATGAGTTTTGACTAGTCACAATTGTAATTAGATATATCTCTAAATGAATTTTGACTAGTCAAAAATCCAATTCAAGATATCTACAACTGTAATTCGACTATTAGTAAATTAATTAGAGATAACTTCAAATATATTTGTAAATATCTCTAAATATGATGAATTAAAGGTATCTCCAAATGTATTATGACTAGTAAAAACTCAGTTAGAGATATCTCTAATTACAATTGTGACTAGTCGAAATTCATTTAGATATCTCTAATTACAATTGTGACTAGTCAAAACTCATTTAGAGATATCTGCAAATATTTTTCAATGGAAGTCAATGGAGGAATATGACTAGTCATAATATATTTGCAGATATCTCCAATCTGATTTCGTACTAGTACAATTGTAATTGCAGATATCTCTAATTGTCATTCTGAGTAGTCGAATTATAATTAGGACTAGTCAAAATATAATTAGAGATATCTCTAAATATATTTATGGAGTCAGAACAAAGATTTAAATGCTAAAAAGGCTTGCCATAGACAGCGCTTCTCACTGTACAGCGCAGCAGCGATGACATAAGCGTGCCAAGGCCCGATATGGTGTGAGTGCGGGCCGTCGGGGGAGACGGGAGGGTGGACAAGCGTTCTTTGGCCCGGTTCGAGGCAACTGTACCTAGTGTGAGTACGGCCTTAGTGTTATTGCACCCAAACTCTGGAACTCTCTACCACAATCACTCCGTTCTGTTAATAATATCTCATTCAAATCTTTACTTAAAACCCACTTGTTTTCTGAATCTGATCTACAAACTGACCACTTTATCTGCTCCACCTGCACTCTGCTTATTTGTCTTTTAGGTCTTGTTTTGTATTTCCAGTTTGTTATATCTGACTTCCTGTATGTTTGTGAACCTAATGTTGTCTCTACTTATATTATCTCTTATTGTTACATTCTTTGTAAAGTGTCCTTGAGCTCTGGAAAGGCGCTATATAAATAAAATTTATTATTATTATTATTATAAATATATACATTTTTATGCATCAAATTGGCAAGATCACATGTTTTTACTAAAAGGAGAGTGATTACCGAGAGTGATTCCTGCTAAATAGTCTCACCTGAAACCAAATGGCGTTGACTATCTTGCTAAGCACAAATAGCGGTAAAACCCAGAGAGCACTGAATACAGATGTCAGAATGAACTCCAGCCACGACCACACATTCCCATGCAGCGAAGGGTCACCTAAAAAAAACAGAGAAGAAATATGAAAAAGACATACAGTTGAAGTCAGTATTATTAGCCCTCCTGAATTATTAGCCCCACGCTGTATATTTTTTCCCCTAATTTCTGTTTAATGGGAAAAAAAATGATTTTTCCAACACATTTCTTTTTTGTTTTAAAAGTTTTATTGAGATATTCATTGCATTGCACAGCATTACAGCAAATATTACAACATCTCAACTTTTCTTTATTTTACAAAAAGGAAATAAACTAATTCAATATCTCACACATGAAAATAAATAAAAAACAATAATAATAAAATAGAATAATTAAGTCATTTGCATAAACCTAGAATACACTTTAAAATAAATAAATAAATAAATAAGATAAAAATAAATAAATGAATGAATAAAAAATATGTAACCCCTAAAACCCACCCCACCCCTGGGACTAAAGCTTAAGCAGTATTGTTAATGTGACCTTCACCATCTGGATTTTTATCCTACGCTTTCAAGATAGAGGAGAAGAGGAGACCAAATCTTGTCAAAAATTTTCAATTTATTTGCCATTAGAAATCTGATCCTTTCCAAATGTGCTAATTTAGTTAATTCTTCCAGCCAAGATCTAAATGATGGGGATTCTGTTCATTTTCAAAATCTTTGCACCAGCTTCTTTGCCACAATAAGGCTTTAAGACAACATTTGTTTTTGAGAATCCTGGAGTGATCTAGTTTCCAACACATTTCTGAACATTCATTCATTCATTTTCTTGTCGGCTTAGTCCCTTTATTAATCCGGGGTCACCACAGTGGAATTAACCGCCAACTTATACAGCAAGTTTTTACGCAGCGGATGCCCTTCCAGCTGCAACCCATCTCTGGGAAACATCCACACACACATTCACATACACACTCATACACTACGGACAATTTAGCTTACCCAATTCACCTGTACTGCATGTCTTTGGACTGTGGGGGAAAACCGGAGCACCCAGAAGAAACCCACGCGAAGGAAGGGAGAACATGCAAACTCCACACAGAAACACAAACTGAGCCGAGGTTCGAACCAGCGACCTTCTTGCTGTGAGGCGACAGCACTACCTACTGCGCCACTGCCTCGGCATTTCTGAACATAATAGTTTTAATAACTCATTTCTAATAACTGATTTATTTTATCTTTGCCATGATGAAAGTGAATAATAATTGACTAGATATTTTTCAAGATACTAGTATTCAACTTAAAGTGGCATTTAAAGGCTTAACTAGGTTAATAAGGCAGGTAATCAGGCAAATCATTGTATAAAGATGGTTTGTAGACAATCCGAAAAAAATATTCCTTAATGGGGCAAATAATATGGACCTTAAAATGGCTTTTAAATATTAAAAACTGCTTTTGTTCTAGCCGAAATAAAACAAATAAGACTTTCTCCAGGAGAAAAAATATTATAGAAATTACAATGAAAAACTCCTTGCTCTGTTAATCATAACTTGGGAGATATTTGAAAAAGAAAAAATACACAGGAGGGCGAAGCATTTTGACTTCAACTGTATCTAGAGCATATGGACTGTCTTTAATGTGACACTTACCTATAATTCTAGCAGTGAGAGACTGCAGCAGCGGGATAAACACTCGATAAAACAGGAACAGGCTTAGCTGTGAGATCAAACAAATAGGATTTTAATATAACCTTGAACACAAACAGACAAACAGACAAACATTTTGCTGACCAATGAGAAACAGAGAAACATACCCAAAATACACCTCCATTCCAGGCACAGCACTGGAAAATTCGACTTACTAGTTTGGGTTCACTGTTAAGAAAAACAAAACAAAGTAATGATCAAGGCTGTAATGTCACAAGTATTAAAGGGGACCTATTATGCACCATTTTACAAGATGTAAAACAAGTCTATGATGTCTCTAGAGTGTGTATGTGTAGTTTCAGCTCAAAATACCACAAAAATAATGTTTTAAAACTCTTTGAAAAGGCCGCTTTTAGGCCACTTTGATCCTAATTGTGCTGTTTTGGTGACTGTGACTTTAAATTCAAATGAGATTGTGCTCTTTTCAAAAGAGGGCGGAGCTACAAATGCCTGTGTGTCAGCATTGTGGCAGATTCAAAAACAAGACCAACATACTATGCTAATGAGGGAGAGATGGTCACTAATGGGCGGGGCTTTCCCCCTTTGATGACACGTACAAAGGGAGAATGTCAACCAAAGTGTTTCTGCAGACTGAACTTTAAAGCAGCAGATGACTAAAGCGCATTGCGTGCTTATAATAATCAGAATGATATAGTATGCTAGTGTGAATGCTAATACAGTTATTGTTCCACCTGTCTTGTTTTCGTTCTTCGCTTTGAGCTCGTCTCATCGCCAGAGCTCCAGACGACCTGCGCCTCCTCTGCTCCTCTCGCTTCTGCTGAATCCGAGCATCGAGTTTGGAGATGGTTCCAATGCCCAGGATCGAGTCCTTGATACCCTGGAAAAACAGAAAGACTGCTGCTCAAGACTGAGTCCCATTTCCATAAATGAAATAAGAATAAAGGATCATAACAAACCATCAATCAATGAAAAGCCTAATTATTCAGCTTCTCAGAAATATATATCTCATAATAACATAATATATTAAATCAATAACTGACACTTATGACTGGTCTTGTGATCTAAATACTTAAAAATTTTATATATTAAAGAAGACATTATTAAAACTTACGAAGGCTTTCTATGTAAATAGAATTCACTTTTGTGTATATATACACACTAACAATTATATGAGGTATATAATATATATATATATATGTATTTA